TTTCTACCGCTAATACTAAATTTTTACTTATTGAAGCACCCTTAAGAAATGAAAGAAAAATTTCTACCGCTAATACTAATTTTTTACTTATTGAAGCACCCTTAAGAAACGAAGCACAAATTTCTACCGCTAATACAAAATTTAGGATTGAAACTGCTAAAGCAAAAATTAAAATGTAAAAAAAAAATACTCAGAATATTTTATCCCTCCATATTGTCGGCGTGTTACCGAACAACGGCGTCGCTTTCTATCGCGTTTCGACGCTACGAACGAGATGTCGCTTACGAAACATCCCTGCATAATTAACACATTTTATGCACGTTTAATTGTTGAAAAATCATCAGTGGAAGTATCGCTTCTCGGCCCTCATGGCTAAGATCAAAGTGTAGTATCTGTTCTTATCAGCTTAATATCTGGTACGACCCGCATGCGGGTCCAGTATATTAATCTGATTTTTGTAAATGGATAGAAGGTAGGGGCTTGCTCCACTTCTATCATGGGTTGGCCCGGTATTGCAGTACCTCCGGGATCGGCCCACGTAAATAAATTAAAACAAAACATTAGCACCATAATTCAGAGCTTTCTGGTATTTTTGGTAGCTCAAATTATACAATCAGTGAAGAAACTGCTCAGAAAATGAGCTTTGAAGCTTCGAAATCTAAAAATTCGTTAAGTAATTGCTTCAGGTAGTTAAAGTATTCGATTCGTAAAGAGTGAGTCGTAAAATTATTTGTTTTGTAGCCTCTAAAATATTTTATTTTCAAAGAATCCGACATAAAATTGTTTTAGTTTCGATAAACGTTAAGAAATTGATATTTTTCAGTTTTTAAAATTGTTTTATCGCTTATCTGTGAGATAATACAGCAAATAACCCATTTTTATATAGACAACTAATGTGTTGACCTTGACACATTAAAAAAAAATATTTTGATTTTTATAAATATTCGCTAGAGGTCGCTTCTCTACTATAAAATATAAGTACTTTATTTTAATCTAAATAATCTCTATATGATATACTTAACAAACTGTTAGATTAATTAAAACAATTTAAATAATGTTTCGTGTCTTTAATGTTGTATTTTCTATTTAAATACGTTTTCGATTTATTCCGAAACGCCATCTTATGAGAATTTTCATTGATACAAATATACGCTAGAGGTCGTTGCATAATACACGGCCATATTGATTGAACGATTCGATGATGCACGAGTGCATGATCATCGAACGATTCGGGTATCCGAAGCTTCGTGGTTATGTGACATTTGGGTTGCCTGTAGTATATTTGCAAGTGTTTACTTATGTTGCATAACACGCCATAACACTTAACGATTTCCTTTTATTTAACACACAAATATATCACATTTATAAGGATAATACAAATCATATCAATAATTCTAAGAATCATAATGAAATTAACGAAAACAAAACATTTATTGCGTAATATTATTATAAAAATTTACACATTTTCTTCATAATTTATACTGAAAAATATTATAAGATACATGGAAAATAAAAATCTACTGAAACGCCATCTTATGAGTATTTTCATTGATACTAATATCCGCATGATCATCAAACGATTTGGGTATCCGAAGCTTCTTGGTTATGTGATATATTTTCATTGATACTAATATCCGCTAGATGTCGTCGCCATCTTGATTAAACGATTCGATGTTGCACGATCAAATGATTCGGGTATCCGAAGCTTCTTGGTTATGTGATATTTGGGTTGCCTGTAGTAAATCTACAATTCCTATTTGTATAAATTGTTCAATTTTACTTCTATTAATTAACGTGTAAAAATAATTAATAAATTAACAATCGCATGTCTTTGAAATTAAGTAACTAATGTGTACCAATTGTTGATTATGTGTATATTAAGTATGTGTTTTTAGACAGAAATCCAATAGGATTTAAGCGATGAATGACATTTTAAATGACAAATATAAAATGACAGTTAGAAAATGTCACTTTCGATAAATAAAAAAACTTTTAATTATGTGTGTTCTTTACTGTTAACTAAATATGTTTCATTAAAAAAATCCAATATTGAAGATTAGAATTTGAAGTAATCAATAAATGTTTCAATTATTTGTGTATTTGATCCAACAGGATGAATTTTTGATAAATTTGACAGGTGTAGATTAATGACAGTTTTATATTCAGTTATTTTAAATAAATATTTATTGTATAATTCATTTTTGTTTTTTTTTTTATCATACATGGGATACCATCAACCGAGTAACAAGTTAAAGATAATACATAATAAATGAACGTAGTAGCGTAAGAATAAAATAATTTACAACGAAATCATAAATAAATAGTTTTATAATCGTAAGAAGAGTATTAAACTTTCTTGCATTTGCTGGCCGATCGTCCGTCCCGTTGTTGTTGTTGTTTTGTTTATTTATTTACTGTTTGCTTTGATCGAAACAAACGCGTTTTGTGGGAAATAATTTTGATAATAAATCATAATAAAAATGGTAGTTGTAGTTTTGGATTAGACAGATAGATAGATACAGCTTGGCAGCAGCAGCAAAAAGAAATTAACTTTAATGACTTTATGTTTAATAGCCGGCCAATTCGGCGAAGGTGGAGTCCATCTCGTCGGCCAAAGACTTGTATCTGTCCTTGTTGATTCCAAGTTCGTCTAAATACAGAGAAAAAAAGAAAACGAGATCAGTATATTGTATTATAATTATATGGTTAAAAGGAATGTTAACAACATTTGTAAAAATTGTCATATTTTGACGTATTAGTTATAATTGTCAAATTTTGACGTTTCCACATATTTTGACTAATTAGTACTAAGCTATAGCATATTCAACATGTTTTAGTTAAGATATAGGAGGATTCTTGTGGTATATGGTTTACCTTAATCCAAAAGCGGTTGTTTTAGCAAAGCGATTAGTGGAAGCTACTTTATTTTAAGTTTTTTTTTGGAGCTAAAGTGTGTTAAGTAAAAGTGTGGTGAAGTGGTTTGTGTGAGGCAGTGTATGTAAAAAAATAATTGATATGCGTGTGGATGGAGCGGAGAAGCGAAGCGCTTTTTTTTTTTTTGGTAGCCTATTTCTTTTGCTGCGAAGACATTTCGACGAAGGTCTTGTCAATGTCAGTGACAATGCCCATGTACTTGGCCTTCTCGCGCAAAACGAAATCTGCAAACGAGCGTGATTAGAAGAGAAGAAAGAAATTGCGTTAAAAGCTGCTGCTGCTGTTGAATAATGGTTGATCTGTTGGGATGTCTTAAAGTCACCTTCCAGTCTGTCGACTTCCTTCTGCAACTTCTTGACGGTCTTCTCGGCGAACTCGGCGCGAGCCTCGGCTTCCTTTAGCTTGACGGTGAGGGTCTTCAGTTGCTTCTTGAATTCCTCGACTCTCTGGTTGGCCTTCTCCTCGGACACCTCCAGAGACTTCAGGGAGTTACCGACGACCTTCAACTCTTCCTCGAGCTCCATGATCTTGGCGTCACCACCCTTGACACGATCTTCGGCTACCTCCAACTCGTCTTCAACGAAGGCCAGCTTGCGGGAAACTTCGTCGGACTTGTTGTCGGCGTCTTCGGCGAGCATGCGGGCTTCCTTCAGTTGGTTGGTCAGTTGGTCCATGCGTTCCTCGTCTTGTTGGGAACGGTTCTCCAATACTTTGCACATACTGCACACGAAAAAGAACAAGCAGAAATAGAGAGATTAACAAATTTGGGATTTTTCAGATGAAATACCGTGAGCTTTCGTCGGCAGCTTGGGAGGCTTCAGCGAGCTTGGTGGTGGCGGTGGTAAGACGTTCCTCAGAGCGTTCCAAATCCTCTTCAATGAGTTGGACTTTACGGTTGAGGGAAGCTACTTCAGATTCAGCCTGCAACGTAAAGACAAACTCAATCAAAATCTTCATCTTCAATTGAACACAACAAATTAACGTACGTTGGTGAGGGCCTTCTCCTTCTCGTCAAGATCCTTGTTGGCTTGGTCCAACTTGTTCTTGTTGAGGGTGAGATCTTCCTCGACCTGCTGCAACTTCTTTCCCAACTCGCGGACCTCCTCGTTGACCTTTTCGGCGCGGAGGTTGGCATCCTTGGCCTGTCCTTCCATCGCGTCGGCTTTGTCGGCAGCATTGTCTTTTTCAAGCTTCATGGCTTGCATCTTCTTCTTGATCGCGTCCATGGTGATTGGTTTTTTGGTTGGGACTCTCTCACGAAGAAAAGGAAAAGATTATGCGATAGCTGCAACAACAACAACAATAACAACAAATTATTAAACAATAAAAAACATCTGCAAAATTAAAAGCAATTCAACAACTTCAACAATTCCCAAATAAACTATTGTTTACATCAAACCAGAAGAAAAAATAGTTCATTTTGGATTGGATCCAAGCAGTTTATAAAAATAAGTAACTTTATAGATATCTTTTTTTTTCTATCTCTAAACATTACGAATATTTTTGGAACTTTCAAAAATAATGTTTTAAACAGTTGAATAACGTTATTCACAAATTACTAATTTTGTTTTTACCAAAGTAATCAAAAGAAGAAGAATATTTGTTCAACAATTGAATAACGTTATTTACACATTCCATTTTTTTTTTCTTCTTTTGTTAATTTACTTATCACTAAACTTTATTTTTTTTACATAATACAATTTCGAAAG